GATTCGAAATCTCGGAAAAGCGAAATTAACTCTCTCTCCAAAAAAAGTAAGAATAACAGTCATTATTCTTAATGCTCTTAATTACTGTTTACAGTTCATATCTTTAGCTTTTGAAATTACTTTCATTAACAGTACCACATACACAGGGTTGTTAAAATGGGGGGAAAAAAGGAGTAACCTTATTTAAAAAAAAAAGGCAATAAGATTTTCTGAACTAAGTATGAAATAATAAATAACGAAACATCATAAACAGAGTTTAAACTGCTAGGAAAATAGTACTCAGTAATTCAATATATGGCTCTGTTAATAAAAACGATTGCAGATCTTCGAGATAAAAATATCATAATAACACAAAAGACGATTTTTTCTTCCCTTAAAATAATTGCTGAAAACCATACCATTCTGCTCTTCAAATACATAAAAAGCTTTAAAAATTAAAAAATACATTAATGCGCATTACATATTTCTTAACATTTAAGACTTTTATTTTTAATTTACTTTTATTTCAAAATACAGTGGTACCTCGGGATATGTCCTTAATCTTTTCCAAATCCTTGAACTTGTACCAAACGAGCTTTTCCAATAAGAAATAAATCGAAAATAATTAATCCTTCGTATGTAAAAATCCAGTTGCTAATATTATTATAACATTATTTAATGCTAAGAAACAAATACAGTGGGCGAAAAATATATACTGTACTTGAAATGAAATACTGCATTTATATACATTTACGTTATCGAGATTAAAAGGAATTTTTCAAGACACTCTAATGAGATCTTTAAAAATCCATTTCAGCCGTTTGCAATGTTAACCGATTTAACGGCGTCTTTGTTTTTTGCAAAGGTATATACCGTTGTTCTGATTTTCAATTCCATGCCATTTTCAATCTCTTTTTTCCGCCTACGTAGTGATAATAATTATTTCCTTCGTTGTTTTACTCTTCTCATTACCTTTTTTAAAACCAAAATGGCGTTAAAATCAGAGTTATAACAAAGATCATTTATACAAAATTAAAAACAAGCGTACGGATGCTCATGAGCAACCGTAACATAGAGGTAAATAAGTGCGCGTAGTCGTGACTCATCGAACTCAAGTCATATCCCATATAAAATACATATACCAAACAAACAACTGACTCGGCGAAATCGTAGACTGAATATCCGTTCCTGTTTGTGAAGAGTCGGCTCTTGTATTAGGATGGTATTAATTTAAAAAAAAAAAGTTAGAAGGGAAAGATTCGGTGCGAGTTTCGCAGGTAATTTACGAGGTTTTGTTTTTGCTAGTCAGTCGAAAACAATCACTACGTGGAGGAATCCATTTTAAAATTTAGATAAGCAGGTTCTCTGCGGAAGACGAAAATTATGCGAATGTTTTTAAAATTTTAAGAACCTGAAGCAAAACATTGGGGGGCATGAGAGAGGAAACGCAACAAACATAATCTGAAAATCATTTCTACTGTTTCGCTTCACGTACATGAAGCCAAATATATAAAAAATAAATAAATAAATAATTCCCCCCTCCGCTTCTGTACCATGCGATTTCAACCATGCCTCGTATCTTTTTTAACACGAATGTTTTGTTACGGTTTGAATTAACCAACCTGAGGTTGAAAAATTTATCCTAAGACCGCAAAATTCATCCCATGCAAAGAAATTCAGGCATTACCTTATAAAATTCCATACTCTTGTTGCACACATCAGCCATCTTAAAGTAAGACATGGTAAGACTAGTTCCTCATCTGAGTAAAAGAATATTGTCACCCGTCAATAAGCACATTCTCAGCAGTCTATTCATATAAACATCTACTGGCTGAGCTTACACTGCATAATAGAAAATAGAAGGTAATTCATTCAATCCAGGAAAAAAAAAAAAAAAATTTGCAGATATTTGTACCTTAAAAATAATCTTGAAAAAGCTTTTCCGTAGATATAAAATACAACAGTAAACCAAATATTTCCTACCTTCCTCTTAATATACCATTTGCTACTCTTTATGAATCTACAGTAATTATTTTACGGTAGAGTACTCGTGCTTATGAAAGCTATTTTCATTTCTATATTATATCCAATATCTAAAGATGATACATTTGGCAGGGGGAGGAATTTCTAAGAAACCTTTTACATCAATAAAGACGCTCCTGACGCTATTTAATATTCACATATCATATCGAGCATTGATAAAACATACAGCATATATTCAGATGTATCATTCACTGTATCACAAAGACTATTCGAAAAACTTTTGAGGCATACAGTAAATTCTCTTTAAGATGACAACTCCCGGTTCCAGACTAATTTGATCTCTATCTATTCAATCCGCCACCAAGAGTATTTGTATTCCCCAACCATTCTCAAATCTCAGACCATTTTTATGTTACAGAAACACTGCGAATGATTATTTTATAACTCCAGTTTTTATAGGCTTAAGCCATCATTTACCAAACTTTCTTTCTACCGAAAAATCAGAAAGCACAATTACTACACTTGACGGGCTGATCTTCCAGAGAATGATGTATATACATTTTAAGACATTAACGTCTAAAACACTTCCTTAAGTACCAGGCCAATGATAGAGGAAATGCTAAATATGAAAAACAAACATCTTATTTTGTTATCGGCAGGGCCGGCGCGCTAGGTTTTTCACCACGCAGTGTAAAATCTGCAACTTCTAAATTTTGTCGCTCGGTTTCGTCTTAAATTCTAAAATTTTTGTTACACCGGCTCTCGTTATTGCATATTTTTTCGAATTTGACCATAAAGACTGCCTAATAATGCTGGCATGCTTAGCCTTTCTCGCAGCGCAAAACGCTTCGTTTAAGCGGCATGATGCCTGCCACACTGACAAAGTCATACAAATCCAGAAAGTGCTTCGAAGGAGAAAGGCTACCACGTGTATACTCATATACCTTGGTAAATATATAGGTTTATTTTTCGTCAGAATATTAAGTTAATATTGCAATAAAATATTTAATATTCTCCTTTATTTCATTCACGTTTATAGAGTCTTGAAGGCATAATCTGGAAGCAACGAAATTCCACCAGGGATTGGCACGCGCGGAACACTTGCAACCGGGCAATTCCGGAGCGTGGCAGTCCACTCCGTACGGAGGCGGGCGGCGCCGTTCTCCTTATCAGGTACAGACCGGGAGCTAAAGAGAATGTCCATCATCAATCAAAAGGGTGTAGGGGAAGATAGGGCTGCCAAAGCCTTTGAAGGAAAGGCCAGAACCTCCAAGATTTCCGAAATCTGCCGCGCCTTTCACAAATATGTAATGGCAAGGCAGTTTATTTCTTTGCATTTTTTTTTATTTCATCCATTCTTTCTCTTCTTCCTTCATGAATAAAAACTTTAGTCTTTTAATGGCCTTAAAAATGGACGTTTAGGAAATAAACATATATATCTTATCGGCAGTTGAAGACAGTTTTTCAAGAATCCAAGATTTTCCCCAAAGAAATTAATGAAAAACGCGCAAGATGAAATATCCATTGAAAGCACGCAATGGTTTGAAACGTTTAGCATAATTTAAAGGAATCCAGTTATTTTTTGAAATAATCTTACTGACTGGAATATGCTTCTCCTTCGAAATTCCCTTCTGAAAATCATATCTTATATTCAGAACTTAACATTTGAAAATATATAATAAGATAATTTATTATTTACTCCTTAAGTTAATAAAGAAAATAATTTTATTTCGGTTTTACCTTTAGAAAATGGCATTTATATAATCTTCAACATACTTGTGTAATAGGTACATAAGTGCGACAAGTCTCTTGTATTCTTTATAATTTAGCATGAATATGAAAGAAGAAAGCAACCTTCATCTAAAACCAAGACACCCATGTCAAAATATTTATATTTGCGAACAGCTGCCGACTTGCATAAAGGTGCAGACATCTTTATGACACTTTATGCAATCGTCTGGGTGGCGAGACATGAAAATTCCTCGCTCTTACGCAATGGAATGAAGAATTAGATCCAAGAATGATTCTGATACGGCTACCATTAGTATATCTTTCAAGCTTTAAGAGCACCATTAAGTACTTTTCTTTGTATGAGTTTATTGTTTTTGTTGCACGAGTTCTACAATTATGACCTAATGTTTCATCTGTTTCACACCATCGATATCAGGTGCAAAGGTAGCAAGCACCACAGTCACTGGCGTCTCGGGAAATTTCTCGAGTATCCAATAGCCGAATCTGCCCCTGCATGTAAAGCGTTGCTCGAAACATGTTATTAACACATTTAAGTTCATACATTTAATCTGATAGCTCATATACATATGTAAGGCAATTTTTAGGGGGCTCATCAATTTTATTTAAAATTTTAAAGAGAGTTTCTTCGTAATTCAAAATTACCACGGATAAAGTAGATAGAATTTAAAAGTTCGACCAACTTTAACGTCGCAGAAGAACCAAGACTTGGGTAAAATTATGAAGAACAACAAGATCAAATCGCATACAGGATTTCAAAGTCACTAATTAGATCGCTTAAAAAATAATAATAAGGCACAGGAGAAACATTTAAACGCATATAAATAAACCCATGCAAATAAAAAACTTAGTAAAATTTCATTTTAGGAAACCGGAACGCCTATTCTTCTAACAAGTACTGCTTTAATTTGGAGATCAACCAGCAACGACAAAACGCCTCGATTCGACTTTAGGTAACGAAAGATACAATTCATATGATTACAGTGTAGTAATTGGGAACATGCAAGATGCCATAATAGGTACTAATCGCACATCCGATTCACAAGCGACATCGCACGATGATAACATATATAAAGCAGCTTCAATACTTGTCCTAAATCTCATCTTAGAAATTTAAAATGGTGATCATCAGATGTAATAGGTAGATATTTAACGACGTTATTGGGTTTCTTATTCGTGTTCACGCAATAACCCCCGTCTGCCGAATGCTATTAAAGATATCAAAGCATGCAAATGGGTTCAAAAGTCTCACTTAAACAAGCACAATGCAAATAAAAAAAAGGTCTTACCGTGACTTGCTGTCCTTCTTTTAGAGGCAGACAATGAGGATCGTTTGGGTCGTCGTAATCTCGAATGGCTCGTGCTTGAACAGCATTGATGATTTCTGAGGAAAAAAGTGAAAATATTTAGTCATCCAATTATTTAAGTGAATATATTAATAACATACTAACATAGTTCTAACTTTTCTAATTCCCTGTCTTTTTTCCTTTTCCTTTTTTTTTTTTTTCCCCTTTTTTTAAAGAAAAGGAGCTTCCAAATATTTACAAAAAATAAAATAAGTTTAACAATATGTAAGGGATCATCAAATTAAGCCAATAAAATAAGACAGAGGTTTGGGATTACGTTATGAAGTTATAAGTATTAAGCAGTATGTTTTGAAATAATCTTTTAGTGCAGCTATTAGCTAATATACGCACTGGAAAGCATTACAATGCCTCTATGTCCAAATCACTAACAGCACAGCCTACTTCAAAATGGTATTCACGCCCAATCCAAACAGCCAGTATTAACACTTGCAATTGGTCTTTCTTCTTATCAACTACACTGCAAATTCTTCCTTTGTAACTGAGTTCTGATGCCATCCAGACGAAGAAATCCAATACTGTAAGATTCGGGCTTATAGACTGGGTAAGAAATGGATCGAGAGTAAAAAAATTATTGAATCGATATATCAATTAGAAAAGCATTGAAATTTATAGAAAATCATCATGTATTGATTAGAAAATCATTGATTAGTCTTACAGTATTGATTAGAAAATCATTCAACCCACCGTTATGGAAAACGAATGTTTAACCCATTTTATAAAACGGTTAAAAAGTCCAATAGTGAAACATGACGCGACTGGATTCATCAACATTCTCAATCTGAAAGAAGGGTGATGTGACACTTGGCCACATGGCAGTTCCGCATAAATGGCATTTGCCCACATCATCGCTGAGGAATGTGAAATTTTCTAACAGATGTTACCAGTAATAAACAGCAAGTGACTCTTCCCAATAGACCGTCAGAAAGCATTAATTGATTTATTGCCAGACTTTTCTTAAGAAGTGTCCCTTGCTACTCTGAGTGAGCCCCACAAGCGAACGAGCGGTAAAATCGCTGAACAATGGTAATTCTGACCCGGGTTTAATACCGCGAGCACGAGCTGACTGCACGAGCATTTCCTGCTTTTCCCATGTGTAACATATATACGAACCATTTTCTCTTAGAAAGTCCTCCACGAAGGCATCCTTCCCCTTGGGGCAGGTAGCTAGTCTTATAAGACTTTATTTAATTACGGCAAAACTATACCAAACCTCCCTGTTGTGCGAAAACCCGACTGCATTTGAACAACGAGCCGATTCAGAAAAGGTGAAATGATTTTTTTACCTTAAATGCTATAGAATGATAGGTATTTTAAAGTGTAGCCTAGTCCCTGGTCTAGACATCGGCAACCTATGACCTGCAGGTTACCGAGTGACCCACTTCCATAATTTTAAGCGATCTACTTCAGTTCAGAAAATAAATTATATTATATAAAAATAAATTATAAAAGAATATAAACGAACACTTGAAGAATAATAAAAAAAATGAAAATAAATAACAATAAAATTTTTTATTAGAAAGTGGGAGTAACGAACAAGCACTTTGTTTTTAAATAATAAAAATTGCAACATAATTTCATGGAGAAATCGATAAATTTGGCATGCCGATCCCTAATTCCCTGACAGACATCTGGCAACACTAGTGTGATTCTCTGAGACTGGTGCCGTCTTTGCCGTATTCAACTCAACCTCAAACCTCCTACTCTAGGTGTCTCTTGTGTATTATTAGTTGTTACCAGAATTATTTTTGGAACTTTTATATAAAATGAATTTCATCCTTAGTGAAACATCTAAAGATAATCTATAACCACTGTGGGTATGTATGCATTATTGTATGCATCTATAATTATGCATACTTAAAAACTTTAAATTTATAAGTACTTTCTGTTTCTTTATTTAAAAAAATAATATGCATTTACATGTTTTGAAGGTGTGGTTACATGCTTTGAAGGTTATATGTGGAAGTTAACATTTCTCACAACTATAACATTCTTGCTTTGCGTCAACGATTTCTTCGAAAACATTGGTCAGGATTTCAAAAAAAATTTTATCGACTGTGAGTTTTTTTTTTTAATTATCTTTAATTACGCTGAAATATAATCGATTTTGTAGCATAAAAATGAAAAAAAGGTACAAAAAGTTATTTTTTAAAGAACATATAATTTGATTATTTTTAATATATGTAAATTTTAATTGTACATTAATTTTTTCGGGGGGGGAGAAGCTAAAAATACTCATTGCTGCGCGCAGTACAGATTACAGTATTATGTGGATGACAAGATATTTTATTTTAAATATATTAATATTTGGAATACAACATAAAAGTAAAAAATACATAATTAAGAATATCGAAGTAGATAATATAAAATTTCACGCTTATAAACCAGTTTTAAAAATACTGAACTTTAAAACGTGTTGTATTTTGGGGATTATTTGACATTCATAAGGTACCTGCCTCCTTAAGGTATCTATCAGTCTTTAACACATACATAATATAAACATTTTGTTGAAAACTATTTTGTGCAGTCCAGTAGCTTAACATATTGTAAAATAAAATCAATACCTCATGTCGCTGCTCCAATTTATGGAAAGATAATTAATTAAGAAAATGTGGCTTGGGGCGGAATTGCCACAGGTAATCTCGTTTTTTGAACTGTGCGCAAGTGTTTATGTAGGCAAAGAGCCATTAAATTGGAAGGGAGAACTATGTTTAGATACAAGTTTTGTCATTTTTACGAAATCGGGCGTAAAACCTTCTGTTATTCAATCAGATACAGAAAAAACTTAAGCTTGAAGCTTGAAATAAAAATATGAATGAATTCTTAAATCAGAATTTCTATACAAATACCTGTAATAACAAAAGATTTGTTAAGTTGAAAATCAAAAAATCTTTGAAATATTTCTTTTATTGAAGCACATGCAATAACGCAATTTTGAATAATACAAACACTTGATCAGCCTTCTGTTCGAAAAAAAATTTTATGATATATCTGAGAAATTTTTGAGCGCTCTTTATCATTTTTAATCTAAATTATGCAGAATTTCTGTTTTCGGTTAGAAAACGTTATACATAATTGTCTTTCTATTTCATTATATCTACGACTAGTACAACCTTAGAAATCTAAAATTATGTAAAAAAATAACGTTAGATTGGCTCAGATTTTAAATAAAATTCTAATATCTGATTTCGACAACTTATCCGATCCCTATTCCGGGATTAGCTGAATAATAAGGATTGGCTGCTTAGGATCAAATTATCCTAAGCAATTAATTATTCATGCAGTGAACCAAACTTCTGCAACATTTTAATAGAATAGAAATCTTTCAATTGTATAAGGTTACAATTACTCTGCATTAACCAGTTATTTACAATTTCAGCCTTTATTATAACTTCCCCTTTCCGTTTTCTCTCCAGAAATGTAAATTAGTTAGACAGCACTTAAGCTAAGCTTTCTGGAATGTAAGACAGAGTGTGTTTTGCCTCTCGAGGCCTCGTTGTATTAGTTCTGCGACTCTTGGTAAGTTTGCAATTATTCGACTTCGCGTTATAGTTGCCGTCATTTGCACTGTTATGCCACCGATAAGTTCTGAATCGAGTTAAACTGTCTAGTACCTGACTATTGTATTAAATTTTTAATTTTTAATTTGACTGTTACTTTAAATTGCATTGCCTCAAATGGTGGCTGATCCTTTGAGCACAAGAAGTGCATTTATATTCTAAGTTCTGTTAAATAAAAAGGTTTATTTAAAACTTTTTCAACGCCCTGTAGTTCATTTCAGACAAAGCGATTATCCGCTTAAAGTCTGTTAGGAGAGTGATACTAGTTCATGCTCTTAAACAAAGTCAAACTCTATAACTGTTATAACAGCACTCTACAATAAATTATTCGCAGTGGAAAAGATGAAACGTAAGTAAATATTATATTTCAAAAGTTTAAAATAGTTATAATTCAGGTAAGTCAATTGTTTGAAATTTCAGATTTCCTATATCCGGCTGTCAGCAACTAAACTGCTGACTGCAGAGGCGTTTCCTTTTATGTAAATCATACATGAAATACATCTCTGGTACATAATTAGTTAATTACGTCTAAGAATTTCAGTACAGGATATGAAACAGGAAATTTTAATATAATAAAGAAATTTTATTTCTGATATAGATGATAGTGCAAAGGTAATATGGATTACTTGGATCCAAACCGTCTAACTGTACTACCTTTATACTATCCCAATAATTATATCAGAAATAAAATTTGTTTAAAGTATAAGGTATTTTTCCCGCTTTCTTAACGAGTTTTCGTGGCGTAGCGGTCTGCACGCTCAGAGCGTAAAACTGAGAGGTCCGCGGTTTGATTCCCGGAGAAAGCATTGCTAATTTTTTATCCTGCCTTCTTCTAAAAAAGTATATAATGTCTATAGTGGCGCCCGAACTAAAAGGGTGTTAGATGATGATTCCCCTCACCCAGGATTTGGCAATTGCGTTCCCTAAAAACACCAGTCCCCCTTTAAAAGGAGAAGGTATTTCTCCCGCCTTCTTAGAGAGCCTTCATGGTGTAGTGGTCTGCACGCTCAGCGAGTAATTGAGAGGTCCGCGGTTGGATTCCCGGCGAAGGTGTTGCATATTTTTCATCTTGCTTGCTTCCGAAAAATACCTAATGTCTCTACAAAGGAATACCAGCATTCAACGATTTTACTGCTCGGCCGCTGACGTGCATTAGGGAATTAAAAATTCTAACATCTATATACGTAAATTACATTAGAAAAAGCATTATTATTACTGACAGAACGAAAATAATAAAACTAGCAGCCGTCGGGAAGCATCTGATTATTATAACTAAAGTAAATATTTTTCATCAAACCGATTGACATTATTAAATTAACATTATTAAAATTTGCAGGATATGTAAGTTTTGTCGTGGGGCTGATTAACAACTTCTGCTGAATTTCTGTTGTTGCTAAGGGCGTGATTTTCTTCGTTAAATTAAAAAAGCCTTAAACAGCTATCTATTTATCGTATTCTTA